CGTGAATTTGTGGCCCTTGAAGAACAAATTTTGGACGAAGTGGAAGCAAATCCGAGAATTAGTACAAGACGATTAACTGCCCAACTTGGACAAATGTCCAACTTTGTTACGTGACGCACGATTCACAAAAATAGTTTGTACCTACCCCTATCACCTACAAAAAGTTCAAGCTCTTCAGGATGGAGATTATGCACTGCGGTTGAAATTTTGCCATTGGTATATACAGAAAAATCAAGAAGATGCTGATTGGAGCCGTAGTGTTTTGTATACCGATGAGGCCACATTTACGAGAGACGGGATTTGGGCAGCAACTCAGGAACTTAATTGTAAATAGTCCAGACATTTTTACGCGAGTGCGCGAAAGCTTGCTTCGCAGAGTTTAAGCTTGCATTCTAAATAATGAAATCATTTTGAGCATCTCATATAAGGTAATACATTTTTAATTTTACATTTGGCAACACTGCATTAAAAAGTAATAGGTAAGGTTAATCCGCGGTTCCTAGTACTAGCGTACTTTTTGGTAGGATAAAGGTTATTATAAATTATTTTTAGTCTTTGGAATTTAGAAAAACAAAGTTTCTGGTGCTTCTTTATGGACCCTAAGGAACTACCCATTTTAATATATAACATTAATAGACCTATCCAATAAAACGGACTTTTGGATAGCGCGTGCGTGAAAAGGCACGTCGTCTTTTTTTAATTACATAAAAGAGAAAGAGATACCACTCTTCTTCAGGCACGCGCTATCCAAAAGTCAGTTTTATGGGATAGGTCTATTACATATATAACATTAATTACATAACACCCTGTATATATATATATATATATATATATATATATATAAATTTTAACAATAATAAAATTTAAAACATTACCTACCTACTAATTATTTTAACTTGTTTTTAGGAAATTAAATAGCAAAAATCGTACCTTAAAAAAGAAGTTTGGTTTTTTATATGCTCTTGAATTGCGCAATACATATATTTGATAGAAAGGTATAGAAAACCATTAATATCCTTTATAAATATTTATATAAAAATAAATTAATAAATTGATATGTATTTGCAACATGAATTTCTGCCATGGCTTTTAATCTGGCAGAGGCATGTCAAAGAGGCATGTCAAAGAAAAAATAAGACATAATGATGCTTAAATAATTAGAACCAAAAGGCGTTGAAAATTGAAATAATTTGCAGGACGCCTTAATTAATAATTAATGTGTCTTGCCAAATATTTCAATATTTTTATAAACTTCGTATAAGTTCCAATGTATCTTCAATATCGATATATTGACAAAGGCACCGATGCGGCGATATATCGGTGCGCATCAAGCCTTTGCCTATATATCGGTTGGATCTCTAATAAAAATATACATTGAACCTTTATAGATCATATCTCATAAAAAGTTAATACTTACTTTTAATACAATCTGATATTAGGAGAGAGAAAAGCATTTTCTTTTCCTTTTTTCCTTCCAGTTACATAAGCTGGCAAGGATGTCGGTAAAAAGTCTCTTCAAGATGTTACTAACAATTGTGTTCACTCCGTGTCCACCAATTTGTGCAAGAAATAATACCTGAAAATAAGCATAGGTATTATTTAAAACTAAAAAAATTAATATAATTTCATACCAGTTTTTTTTTGCTTATACTGTGTATGGTGTTTCCTTTCCCACATCTTGCTCTATTTTTATGGGAAATTTATAATCAGTCCACAGTTACGGCATTTTTGTTTTCTCCTGCAGTAATTACTGTTGCCTAAGGTCCTTGCCATTTTTCCACAAGGTATAGAAAACACCCTGTATAATATATTGCAATAAAATTATTACCAACCCGTAGCTTAGTTCATAATGAAAAAAATACCTAATAAAAATAATATTCTTTACTTGGTTATTTTGAACTTTCAGTAGGTAACTGCAGTAGACATGTCTACATTTAAAGAAAATTTGTTAAATCTTTAGGTTACTCAAAAAGTACTACAATTTTCTTAGCAGCAAGCAAGGGATCATCTTCCAAAGTTTGGGTTATCAAGGCATCAATTTCATTTTCCATCATGTTTAGATACATTTCGCTGTTCAAATTACCTTCAATAAACAGAGGTCCAATTAAATGGTCCCCCAAGATTCCTGACCAAACATTCAACTTATGCGGATGTTGAGTATACTCATATATGAACTTCCCGGTATAAATGAGGATTTGTATCACTCCAAAACCTGCAGTTATGCCGATGGACCTTCCCTGTTGAAAATGACCAGTAGAAACATATATTTTATTTCATTTAATTTAATTTATTTTGGTCATACAAGCTATACAGTATACAATATAGATATGACAGGTCAAAAAAAAAAAACATAATCCGCACAGTGTTTTTATAGGTATTTATAGTTTGTTATATGGCACTATGGTTTTAATTTGGAATCAGTATATGATTTCTTATGGTTTTCCATATCAATTCCTGTAGTGCGTTTGACTATATATACACATTAGGGTGGTCGTTATGTCGGGTAAAAAAAAAATTAACCGGGCCGCCCCTTAAATTGACTCAAAATAGGAAAAAAAAATGTGTGTCAAATTTTAGCCCTATAGGTCTATCCTAAATTACCCCTGTGAACCACTTGTTCACTAAAAATTTAATTTTTTAATTAAAAATGATAAAGTAATTTTTAATTTTATATTTAGTATAAATAATAATAATTATTGTTATTATTATAATTAAGGGAGAAATATTAATCAAATTATGCATACAATACTATACAGGGTGATCCATCTGTGGTACCTTAATTCGGAATCAGTTGCGATGAATCAGTATCACTGAATACGAAACGATGCATGGTAACGGAATTAAACCAATCTGAAGATATAGAAAATGTGATTCCTAAAAGGATTGAACTAAAATACAAAGATATGGTTATTTTCTGTAAAAAAGAAATGGATGATTTTGTAACGTCTCAAACACGAAATTTCTTTGTTCGATTCGGAATCAGTCAAGACTTTTTGTATATTGATCCAGCCCTTTGGAGCGAAAGTGAGAGTTATCAAAATGCATTAAAAATCGTAAACAATCTCAAAGTTGTAAATGATGTTGCGGAAAGGGGGGTTCAATTATTCACTGAGTTTAATCAATTAATAACGAAAGATGAAGACCAAAAACAGTATGCTCTTCAGCTCATCTCTGAATACCGCAAATCCTTCGTAGGTGCAAAAAAAGAAACAATATTAAAACCATTTTAATTTTTCAAATACAGAGTGTTCAAAATTAAGTAAGCATTTTTATTCTAAATTTTGATTTTTTGAATATCTTTAAAGTGTATAGTTTAAATATTTTTATAGTTTTACCTTCGCAATCAGCAGAAAAAATACTAATTGTTTGCTAATTTCGCTGAAATCATATGATCAACAATAACGAAGTTAGCAATGGTGCGCCCTTAATATGGATCACCCTGTATAGTATTGTATGCATAATTTGATTAATATTTCTCCCTTAATTATAATAATAACAATAATTATTATTATCTATACTAAATATAAAATTAAAAATTACTTTATCATTTTTAATTAAAAAATTAAATTTTTAGTGAACAAGTGGTTCACAGGGGTAATTTAGGATAGACCTATAGGGCTGAAATTTGGCACACATTTTTTTTTTCCTATTTTGAGTCAATTTAAGGGGCGGCCCGGTTAATTTTTTTTTTTACCCGACATAACGACCACCCTAATGTGCATACATGTGTTTATATGGTTTTATAAATGGTTTTATATATATATATCAGGAATTTATATATAACAAAATTCATATTATAATATCGATTTTCTTATAGTTTCTTATCTGGTTTTATAGTAAAATTACTTATACTACTTCTTTTTATAAGTATGGCACATAGAAAATGCCATATGGCATTTTCTATGTGCCATACTTATAAAAAGAAGTAGTATAAGTAATTTTACTATAAATATATATATATATATATGTGGGTATACCTACATATATATGTGGGTATACCTACCTTTATATACTCATATTTACCCAAAATTTAAAAAAATAATGGTCAAAATTACTTGAGTTACTCACATAAGGCTACTTTTGGTTATCTTTGGCCTCATCCCCTGGCGAAAATGAAATGTGCAAAAAGTGTGCAAAATTATTTGAGAACAATGTGCCAACAATATGATCGCTAAAACTGTACAAACAATAAGCTATAAAAAGGTGTAATATACATATTAAGTTAACTACACAAGAAAATCATAGTGAGACAAGGTGGGAAAAATGGACATCTAGCAGTCAACTCCTATGTAAAGTTGTCCGCTGAATGCGAAAATGTCAAAAGTTATAAAAGTAGAACGTTTTTGAGATTTAGTAAATTTTCTATAAAATATGGAATTGACCACAGACAAAATATGGAATTGACTATATCTTATTAGTGACCGCTTTTTTACTTCGAAAACTAGTCATTTTTGACTAATTCATTTTTAGAGAGTACGTCACTAAAAACCAGTTGTAGTTATTATATTGTTTAGATTATTTTTTGTTTTCTTTAGAGTATTTTTTTCAGTGAATATTTTTTGTGATTTTGTTTGTTTGGTAATTCAATAAATATTTTTTATACATAATTATAATTAAAGCGGTTTTTGTTATATTTTCAATTACATATTGCCAGTTTGTCGCAAAATATATTTTTTTAAAATTTAAAGACTTTAAATTAAAATATTTAATGTATTATATTTAAATAAAAAAGGGGCGCACCAACGAATGCTGCACGTAGGCGCTAGACACCCCAGGAACGAGCCTGGTCCTTTTCTATGGGTCACGTGGTGGGACTTTGAGGTGTGGAGCATAGTATACATAATATACTATTTTAATGTGACGTTTCAAAGTTGGTCAAAAATTATCAGATTTTTTAAATTTAAAAACTTAGTTATGCAACACGCTTTCAGATTGGTTGCACACTGGGTTGCCGATGGTTTTGACATAAACCTAACCTTGAAATTTTTTTTTATTTTAACCTTAAATCTGATTAAATATATTATCCCACAACTATTAGTGCTAAATAATTCAAAATTTATTATTATGAAAATAAACACAAGACTGGTTTTTACATTTACAAACCAAAACTTATAATAACCTTTTCGTTAAAGGTGTTTAATTTAAATAAACATGAAGTCCATGCAACTTTTAAAGTGTTTTAAAACGAAAAATCAAGCGATAAGATGCGTGTCAAGCCTACAAAGCTTTATGACGAAGCCCAGGGAGGAGGTTTTGTGCAATCAGGCTGTTAAAGATGCAGAAAAAATTGTTGGTTATCCCACTTCATTCCTAAGCTTACGATGGCTGTTAAACGATGAAGTGGCCAATATTGCTTTACATATCAGGAAGTTAATAGGAACAAATCATCCATTATTAAATACAGCAAGGTAATATATATAATTGTTACAGATTTCATTTAAATTTGGTCATTATTAATTATTTTTTGTTATTTGTATTATTGGTGTATTTGTGTTCCTTGGGTTCAGGGTCAACCTGGGCAACTTGTCCATAAATTTACTTACTTAAGTAAGACCCACGTTGACGGGGGTAACACTGGGACATCGTGTATTATAATAATTCTATTATGCATGACATACAATGGCGTAAACAATACAAAACATAGGTTCTTTGAAGAAAGGTCATCCGGAAATCTCATTTTATAAATCCCCTCTTCTTATATAGGGTGCAACAAGTATATTCTTTGTATGGGTATCTTTTTATTTAAATTTGAGAAAAGTTGCTTAATTAATAATAAGTCAAAACCAAAAATCGTTATAATTTCGTTATTCCTATTTCCTATTTTTATACATTATCATGATAATTGGATGCATCCATTGCAATGTGGGATTTTTTTTGCCGCCTAGATTTAGAGTTACTACCCACAGATTATAACCATTTTGCTTTTCGTATGGCCACCCTATTGAAATTTTACATGCTTATTTGAAAAAAAAATCAAGGAATCCAACCATGTATCGAACTACATAAGTTATGGCAGCCATTATAAAAACAAAAAAATGTTAATGGTAACTTAAAATACATATCGAAGAAATTGGATGTTTGCATGTAAAACATAATTTTTTTTTTTAATTTCCAGGAATAACAAAGTTATAACAATTTTTGGTTTTGAAAGATTTTTAGTTTTTTTTAATATTTTGAGAACCGCCGCTTCTTTTACAATTTATTCTAATTTAACCAACCTTAATTGTAGCTCTTCAAATAAAATCAAGTACCTATACACATAGGAGGATACTTGGTGCCCCCTGTATAGGTGCTATTAAAGTTACGCCACTGATGACTGAAATTCACTAAAAAGGTGTGACATACATATGTACTTTATGGATTTTATTGGATTATTGGAATAAAACAAATGAAATTAAAGTTTCCTGGAACATTTTGCTTTTAAACAGCTATAAAATATAGGTATATAAAAGTATTATTTGGTAACCCTTGCGGCCTTGAGTTCACGGTTTATTCACCGTGAATTCACCGTAAATAAACCGTCTGTTTGTGACATTTGTAAACGGTAGTTAGACGGTGAATTCACGCACTTTTCACAGACGGTTTATTCACGGTGAATTTACGGTGAATTCACAGTGAATTAACGTGAATAAACCGTGAACTCAAGGCCAATGGAACCACTACGGACTTGGCTTTTCAATGTCGTCGTTTATTAAATATGTACTGGTAGTTTATAACTTCCAGAATAACAATATAATGTTTAAGTAGGCGGGTAAATTTATAAACCCTTTAAATTTTACTGTTGAACTTGTGAATTTAGTTTTTGTAAAATAAATGCGCTTCATCAATATTTAAGTATAAACAAATTATTTATTTAATAATGTTTATAAATAAAAAAATCTTAATATTTATTATTAATTATTTATTTAATTATTAATACCGTCTATTAGCAACAGAATTACTATTTATTAAAAAGTAAACAACCATTTACAAACAATTAAAATAATTTATTATTTACATTACCACGTGGTACTTGCAACCTTGAGATTACCGTGAATTTGCGGTGTTTTTACAGTCAATTTACAGTGTTTTCACAGTAAACTCACAGCGCTTTTACGGTGAATTCACGGTGATTTCACGATAAATTTACGGTACTGACAGTGAATTTGCGGTGATTTTGCAAATTTGAGTTCACCATGAATTTATCGTGAAATCACCATGAATTAACCGTTAAATCACCGTGAATTTATCGCAAAAACAGCGTGAGTTCACCGTTTAATTACCGTCTACAAATGTCACAAATGGACGGTATATTCACTGCACATAAACGGTGTATTCACGGTGAATTCACGCAAACGGTGAATTCACCGTAAACTCAAGGCCGCAAGGGAACTGAAAAACTACCAGCCAGAACATTTGTTTATGCTCATAATATAAATATATAATAATAATAAAGTAATATATCACACATAACTTGCCTTTATAATTTTAGATAATAAATTATTAATAATGAACATTTTGTAATAAAAAAACGTAAATTTGCCCTCATAATAACATAAGAAATAAAAATATATTGTTATAACAATATTTTTGTAATTGACAGTGGCGGCTGGTGGATTTTGGAACACCCATATCTCAGTTATTAGACATGTGACCCACATCAAATTTATATGAGTTTACAATGACATTATATAGACAAGTTCTGCAAAAAAAAGTTAGTTTTTAAGTGTGCCCCCCCAGCCTCCTGCTCCCCCAAATTAAGATAATTCAAATTAAAGTGGTACAATATTTAATTCACTGCAGTTTATCGACAAATTTCAAATTTTATTAAAAAATTTCAAGAATTACAGGTTTTATACCATTTAAAATTTTTATTATTTCTTTAACTAAATTAAAAAAAAATAGAAATGGCATAAAATCTGTAATACTTGAATTTTTTTAATAAAATTTAAAATTTGTCGATAAACTTCAGTGAATTAAATATTGTACCACTTTACTTTGAATTATCTTGATTTGGGGGGGCAGGAGGCTGGGGGGCACACTTAAAAATTAACTTTTTTTTCGCAAACTTCATTTGAATTCTGCTTGCGCAGAGCTTCTCTATATAAATTTGATGTGGGTCCCATGTCCCATGATACTGAGATATGGGTGTGCCCAAAATCCACCAGTCGCAACTGGTAATTGAAATTGGGTTGTGCGAAGAAACATGCCTCAGTATCGAGTATTTCCTCCTCTAGCTCAAATGAGAGCTCATAACCGTCGTCAATTTGTATTAAAGAAGCAACCTCCTCCTGAGATATCTGTTTCCATTCATTTAATAGAGCTTCTTCCAGCTGAACTCCCCGTGGTTCTGCATAATCCTTCTGTCTAGGTTGTTCCACATATGCTCGATAGGGTTTAGGTCAGGACTCCTGGGTGGCGACTATAGCAACTAAATACCATCATCGTGAAGGACTGACAATTGTGACCTTAAGGTACAAGGGCTGTGTGGGGTCGAGCATTATCTTGCATTACGAGAAAATTATCTCCAACAAATGGCCCAAACGGTATCACATGCTCTTCAAGACACCACTTTATGTACCTGTCACCATTGCTGAAACCTCCCTGAAATGTTACAAGAGCCGTAGGAGCTTCCTAAGAAATGCTTTATCGTTCTGAAATACATTTTGGCGACGATCAGATGAATATCTGGTAAAACATACCCCCATCGACATGAGTTCGCGATGCCTGCGATGAGCAAGAGTTCGCGGCAGGTGGATGAAATTTTAAATTTTGTTCCTTCAACATTCCTAGTACCTACAGTATCGAATGAAAGTAACTTACCATGAACACCATTTCAATCCCCAATCAAAGCTGTAGCAGTAAGTGTCGGTCTCGCAGAATTTGGACTTGAATAAAACGGTCTTTAACAGCATTTTTTGATGGTGGTCTTCCTTGCCTATGTAATATTGAGTAAAAACGAGTTCATCTAAACCTGTATTTCGAGGTATGACAAGCAAGTCATTACAAAATTTATAACAATAAAACAGCGTGAAAACGATTGAAAAAAATAGCTGTAAAAATATTTAAAAGCCCAAAAAACAAAATATTTTAATTTCAAGCGTTTACATACGTTTTTCACATTTTTTTTTAAATCAAGTGTTTTTCCACAACAATATTGTGTTTTCATAGTAAATATTAGCAAGATTGCATTTTTAAGAATTGTCTAGAAAATGTTTTTCTAATAACTCAAGGTACACAAAAATAGAACTTATATTTAGTTTTTTTCGTTGCATTTTAGGGATTTATTGTTGAAACGGGATGTACCAGCTTGGGGCTTAATAGTATTGTTGGTATCTAAAGCTGGTGGACTAAATAAGCATTTTTCTGATATGGAATGTGATATTACAGCTGGTAAGTAAATTTAATTACAATAAAACTAAACTAAAATGCGTTCTTTGAAGGTATTCTACATAGCCAAAGAGTATTGGCTGAAGTAACTGTAATGATTAAAACCAGTAATATAGTCCATAATAGTCTTCTAAACATCGATAACATGCAGTCAGAGGATGTGGTAGATTTAAATTTTGGGAATAAAATTGCCTTACTAAGTGGTGATTATTTGCTGAGTATATGTTTTAGAGAATTAGCTGGTTTAAAGAACCAGAAAGTAAACGAAATTATTTCGACTAGTTTAAGGGATTTAGCTGAGGCTGAATTCATAGAACCAAGGGATAAACAGAACAGACCACTGCCAGCAAAGCCTTTAAGTGTACAACAAGATGTAGAAATACCAAATGAATATGGTACTGAACCTTTTCAATTAACAAAGGTTTTAGGTAATACAAAATCAGAATGGACATTAAGGCATATACTGGGTGGTGGTAGTTTGCTTGCCAAATGCTGTCAGGGTACATTACAATTAGCTGGACATTCTGATAACTTTCAAAAAATAGGTTACACCCTTGGTAGAAATATTGCCCTTGCATGGCAAACTAGGATAGATTTGGAAATATTTCAGGAAGACAACTTGGGTCCATTTAGTCTAATATCAGCTCCTGTAATGTTTCATTTGCAACACGATCCTAGTTTTTACAGTGAGATTATTAGTTGTGTTGATGGTAAAGTTGACTATGAAAATATTAGGAGGGTTGTAAAGAGTGGGCCAGGTTTAAGTGAGACTAAAAAACTTCAAAGTGAGTTTTGTGATAAAGCAGTGAGTATTTTGGGTAATTTTACTGATAGTGATGCCAAGAAAGCACTATTTAATATGATCAGGGCTATGTAAAATATTTATAATGTAATAAAATCTAGTCAATTAATTGTTCTTTATATTTTTTATATCATTTGACATCATACAAAATTATTTTGTTATTTTATAGAAACGTATGGGAAATGCGTGAAAAGCAGTTAAGCCTGATTTATAGCTTGCTTTCCTTCCTTCCTTCCTCCCGTAGAAGATTAACAATACAAAAACCGTTGTGCTGTTTAAATATTCCCGTACGGGAATCTATAAATGGTACTACGATTTTTGTATTGTTCATCTTTTTCGGGGGGAAGGAAGGAAGGCAATGTTATTAGGCTAAAAAGTGACTCTTTTTGCGCTGAGCTCAAAGTTTAAAGGCTGCGTAGAGGAGGTCTACAATTGAGCAAAGCACAAAAAGACACTTTTCAGCCGCATGTCATGCAACGTTTTATCTTTAAGGCATAATTTTAAACTATACATAAATCGTAAAATTAAAGTAATAATTATTAAAAGAAGAAAGTGAGGTTAGATATTACTGTCGGTAGTAGAATTATTTGATTGATCCAAACGGGTTTTTACAGACTAGGAGGTAAAAAACTTAACCTGATTGGTATAAATTATTTTTACAGCCCAGGGGTTAATAATATATTTAGTACATTAAAATTATTTGTACTTAACATCCTGGACAACAATCGGGATTTCCTGGTGAAGTAATGATGAAATCACAAGGTGATTTTTTTTATCACGCTGTGATATCCTGAGTGCATACACATGCTTCATCACAGTGATATCATGTAGAACTCACGGTGTGATATTTTTAAAATTTCCGCATGCGTATGAGCCCTGCGAACTGCAAATTTAAAACATAGTTTGTTATTCACATTACACCGTTATAATTTATAAAACGTTGTTTGAATATCACGAATGTTGTCCGGGTTCAATTAAAAAAGATATTCCAATGTTTAACAAAACGTGAACGTTTTGTTAAACATTGGAATCAGGGGCGGCTAGTGCATAAGGGCTGCAGAGCTGCAGAACTCCCAAGATTGTCTTATTACTTGACTAATTTTTTAATTATTTAATATTTAAGTGCGACAGTATATTTCAAACGCATGGCTGCATACAAAGTTTTTATTATAAACATTCGTCGTGTCGCCGTACTTGGCCACTACAGTCATCCAAACGACCGGTAAAGGTCTCTAACGCTTAACGCTTACAATACAACAAAGCTGGGCCACTTTCGAGTTCTGGCTCCCATTTCAATACCGTAATTTTGCTCCGCGCCGCTCTTGGTACTGGGTTAAGATAGCGAAATTTAAGCCAAACCGGAGCTGCACCAACATACAGTTCCTACTTCCCGGTCGTTTGTTTTTCGCTTCGCATTCACGTTTGTTATTTTAACTAAAAGACTGTTAATTCTGTGTATTTTTGTGTTTGTTGTTGTATTCTTTTGTAAGAATGAATGTGGTATATGATTTAATTAATGTTAAAAAATTCTCCCTTTATACGTATGAAGAAAAATTAAAACTAAAAGAAGATGGACGGCTGTTGCCCGATATATCAATAGAAAAGTGTGGTTCAAGCCGGGAAAAATCGTATAAAAGGATTTTTACAAGAGACATTTATGCCAGAAACGACTGGATATGTGGTTGCAATAAAAATAATTCCCTTTTTTGTTTTCCGTGCCTTTTGTTTGGTGGAGAAAAAACTTGGACCATAGTTGGTGTAACCGACTTAGTGCACCTAAGCGAAAAAATTAAACGTCATGAAACATCGAAAAACCACTTAAACAATGTTATGGTTTGGATGGGTAATTTTTTTAAATTTTACTGCCACGAGCCGCCACTGATTGGAATATCTTTTTTAATTGAACCCGGACAACATTCGTGATATTCATACGAACATCATGTCGTGATTTTCACAAATTTTATTCATACATCAGCTGATATCATAAGAAAGTCACCGCGTGATAAATGAAAATCATACGAACGTCACGTCGTGATTTTCACAAATTTTATTCATTCAGACATCATCCGGATGTCACTGCGTGAGAAATGAAAATCATGTCGTGATTTTGTATGCGTTTTGCGTGTTTGCGATTGACCGATGGCCTAAAAAATCACGACCAGATTTTTTATGATATTCAATATTTTCTTGGATTTAAATATACTATACTATATATAGTTAATTTAAATCCAAGAAAATATTGAATGTATTTAACCGCAAAAACTGTTGATTCAACATAATTTTTCTCTTAGTGTACGAACGTAGCGCAAAAATGATTATCCAAATACCGTTGGCATAAAAAATCACGACATGATTTTCATTTCTCACGCAGTGACATCCGGATGATGTCCGTATGAATAAAATTTGTGAAAATCACGACGTGACGTTCGTATGATTTTTATTTATCACGCGGTGAGTTCCGCATGATATCAGTACAAATAAAATTTGTGAAAATCACGACATGATGTTCGTATGAATATCACGAATGTTGTCCGGGATGTTTTGGTAGCATTTATTTTGACTTAATTGGCTACTTAATTTAAAAAAAAAACTAATAAAAATACAGGTAGGTATTTCATAATATTATATATTATAAATCATTAAATTTTAATCGCACGCTTGTATTCAACCGGCCGACATGTCGCGACAGCCCCAGGAATCCGCACCTTAATTGCTTTACCACTCGAGAAATGTACGTACAGTACTTCATCTACAACACATTTTCAAACTTTTTGGCATTCACAGTTCTGACAAATATTTATTTAATTTCGTCACCACAAGGTTAGTAATAAACCAACCAACCAGCACAACTATTATGTAACTTTATGTAACGCACCATAGATAACAAAGCACTGTTCGGCCAATTTTGCACACAATATGTAAATTGACGTTTTCTAGATTGTCAGTTGTACAACATTTGGAGCCGCCCATAAATCTCGTGACGCTAAAAATAGTCAAAATTAACCTCCTTCCCTTCCCTTGTGACAGAATGTGACGATGGTAAGACCCCCGAAAGGGTCATGTGATGAATTTCCCCATACATTTTTTGTATCCTTTTTTGAACAAATAAGCAGTTTTATTTGATTTACTTTATCACATGACTTTAAAAAAACCCTTCCACCCTCAAGAGTGACAAATCGTGACGTACCTGTGGTTCTTATTTGTACTGCTATTGATAGTTTTAACGAGTCGACTATACATTCTTCGACTACAGCTGTTGCTGGCGCAACACATGCTTAATATTTAAGTTAATTTTAAATGTATGTATATGTATATTTGTTAAGCAACGTATAAAATATGCAATTATTATAATTATAGCCCTTTTAAAATTGTCTAACTTTATGCCTTACACGTAAAATCTAATTATGTCTTTTTATATATTTTTAAATTTTACATTTATAGACTCGCAAACTATTTTTATCATTAGGACAAATTATGTAAAGTAAAATCTTAGAATAAAATCAGAACCTCGAAATTGGAAAAACTTAACATACTTTTAACTTTTCCACTAATTATAATTGAAAACGTTGTTGCGCATGTGTCTATAAGGAAAATTGCGATTTTCTTACTTTGGTGGGGCCAAATCATCGTAAAGAAAGTTATCGGGAAACAATTGAAGCAGGAACTAGTTTTAACTTAAGTTAATTAACTTAAGTAAATTTTATAGAATTTTTGAATTTTCCATTTTTTGTTTCATTGTTGATTTATGTTTCTTTTACGTTTTTTATTTCTCAAAACTAAGCATATGCTTAGTTTTATATAAGAATATTTATACCATGATACTTTTAGTTTACTTTAATTTAAATCATTTTGTATGGATAACCTGAGAGAATAAATTTTTGTAAATAGTTTATTTTTAATTTGGATACAAAATCGTTTCTACCTAAAAATTTTCAATAAAGTTTAGTATAGGGCAATTTTGAGGGGTTGTGAGTTCAGTACCGTGCATATATTTTTTTAAATCGCTAATTTGAAGTTTTATAAATTTACTCTTAAAAACATTTTGTAAACATATGGCGTTTTTCCTCCAAAAATACTGTTCTACACTTAAAAACAAATTTGGTTAAAATCGAACAATAAAGATTTTACAGGGGTAAGTTGCAAACAAATGGGTCATACTAGAATAAAAAATAACTACCCAGTACACAGCAAACAGAAAAATATAGAACTGCAGTTCTATATGTATAGGATGACTCCGCGTTTGAATATTAAATCTTAAAGTTTTATCAGAACTGTATTGAATCGTGCTTTGTTTTTATATTTTTCGGCTCTATACCTATACACGACTATATTTAAAGTCAAACTCAATGGTGTCTTACAAGATACATTATTTTGATTTTCGATATTCAACAGAGAGGTAGAAACTCGACCCTGTCGAATGGTGCAGTCATTTATGTCTCAAGAAATTATTAAAAAAGGGTTCAGTAAAATGGTGCAGCAACTTCGGATTCCTATTCTCTTCAGAGACATAGAAACTCAAGCTTTTCGAATTTTACTGGCAATGATTTTCGTTAATGTCCCCGAGAATTATACAAAAACAGCGCAATGCAATATCGCAACGGTTTCGACTTCTCTTTACTTTACAAGTTATAGAAACTGGATTCTCTCTAATACTGTTCTAGTCAATATTTCTGAGAGTATAAAAAGAGGGTGTAATATTGCAAGAAGTTTTGATCTTTTGATGGATGCAAGTAGTTTGAATTTTCTCATTTCTGCATATGATTTTGTTGAAAATAGTTTCTTTCTTTGGTTCCTTTGTCTGATTTTTATTTACCGTAACAACTCAGGTATGTAAAGCACAGAGGATATGATGTTAAGTATATTTATGTATTATATAAAGTACCTATATTTGTATTATAAATTTCAGAGGTTATGTTGAAAAAATGATCGATATGCTGTTAATAACTTTAATAATTTAGTAATTAGGTCTGTTGGTAGTAGTGTTTTCCAAAAACCGGTTTTAAACCGGTTTTTTTAAAAACCGGTGGTATACGGTTTTTTTAAATAAATACCGGTTTTTTGTAAATTTGTGACATTCGTTTAATAACGATTGTAGCT